TCCAGGATCATTAATTTCTTTAGAACTGTTGCTGTTTATTTAATACTTTAACGTAAGGTTGTTATTAATCACAGAATTTATAATTAGGTACTCGGGATTGGCGCATAATCTATACACTAAATTAATTCAGATTTTCTCTTTACCTATTATTATCCTTCTACATTCTTTGCATTTTAATAACACTAGCGGGTGTTAATGTGGTATTAATGCTTGTGTGCTTTATCCTATTAATTGAATTATCATACAATACAGACACGTCTCTAAACTATCCTTGAAGTAGGTAAACGTTTCCATCTGCAATTCGAAAACTTTTCTATAATCCTACACCCTTTCTTTTCATTGCTTTGATAAGCAATTATGTACCAAAGTCGCGAATTGCAAGTACTGAACTCCAAATTATTCCATTTCGTTCAGTACAAAAAGACGGATACGTGTCGGCCATAATAAAGCAGAGGAGGGTAATAATTTTTAAAACATCTCTAAATTTGGCAATGATGCACGGCGATGCAAGGTAGCTTCCAGGAAGCTTATAGGGTGACTGACAGCACAGTTTTTCTCTCCCTATTTGGTTCTATTTCTGACTCGACACTCTCCGGGTTCTCCTGTAGTACGTGCCCTGCATTATTTACGCCACCTTTATCCGCAACTTATCCGAAAATCTATACTTTTACTCTCGGCGTCTCTAACGAAAATATCCTACAAAATTCGAAAACTCGAAGGGATCATATGTCTCGGTTTCGGATGGGGGATGACATTGACATTGATTAAAACTGGGAATTGTCTCGTGTATCCACAAAAGAAACGCCCGTCGTTGAAGTATAAGCAAAGGTAAACCCGGGAAATGTAGAGTTTTTCGCAACATCTGCAGAAATTGAGGTGATTGAAGGCGAAAACTAAATTGCGTTTACCCCTCGAGTACGACGTAAGCGGTTTATACTATTTACATAGCTTTGCAAGATGAGCAAAGGGGAAGGAACAAAATTTGCAAGAAAAACTGGTATATATACACACATACAATTTTTTTTTACATTTTCCAATTATTCATCTTAGTACAATGCTTAAACGGATCGGGTTCGAATCTAAATTAAGGGTGTGTTCGCGGTATAAAATTAATAGTGGAGTAGGGTAACTTGTTTAAATTAAATTGAACAACTTCTCGAAGTCATTTTCTTGCAAACCTTCAATACTAGCAAGTTTTGAAATGGCAGCAATTTTTATTTATGACGCCAACTGAAAGGGATGTTACATCTAACGGGAAAAAAGTGTACATTCTGGTTAGAGTTGCGGTAATTTTTTTAGCTGTTTGTCCAACGAAACTGTGATTTTGTTGTAGGCAACCTAATGATCTTCTAAATATATAAACGTAAAAAACTAAGGTTATTAATTATTATTCCGCTATTTTATAATTACACCTTTGGTTGTAGCTTTGTTTTTAACGGAAGTTTGCTCATTAAATCTCGGCTCATCGTAATGAAAGTTCGCGTTCAGAAACGCCATATTTCCATTTCATATTTCATAAAGCAACTTTTTAACTGAAAGGCTTTATAATAATAATTATAATAATGTGAGCCGATCTCGAAATTTGAAATTAGGGCATCCCTGCTATTGTATAATGTAATGTTGAACAATTGTTGAGGCGGAGAAGCATTTGAAAAAATCTAATTTTTGACACATTGTTTCAAATAGAAAAGTTGCTATGTACATAGATATTCCGTTCACTCGCACGTTTTTCAAATTTCTTTCTGAAGAGTGTTGCAATTTTGTTAAAGTACCTTCTTCCGCTCGGTCCTTCATCTGTGCATGTCTTCGGGTACTTTTTATTGGAGAGTGCTATTGAAATGAAATGTTGGCAACAGTTGATTAAATTATAACTATAGGCTCACCCCCTGTAACTTAGGCAGAATTGCCAATATGATTATAAAACTGCAGGTGGGTGACATATCAGTAAAAATGATAACTCTCAATTTCGAAATTGAAATGGCTACACCTTGTATATTTTGTACATTTTTGGATTCTACAAACAATTTTTACACCTGATATATTGTTTGCGGTAATAATTTATACGGGGTTGATCGAAAAATTAATTAAATTTTATTTTTTTAATCTAAGTGGTAATGAATGGACCATACATTAACTACAAGATTCATTTTATCTAATTTAACGAATAAATGATTTTAACCAATTATCAAAATTCAGTTACTGTTTATACATAAATAGTTTGATTATTGTGTGTTGGGGGTTTGGCGTTGTGTTGACGGTTCCCCTTCTGGTTCGGAGGTTTCATTGTTTCCCGTGTATGGTATTTCATTTCTAAAATAAATGTAGTTAAAGTTTGCAGTGTAAATATAGAGGTAATTGTCTTCTGTAAGGGTCGGTTCTACTGGTTTAAGGAGCTCTTGTGTTTTTTGTTCCTCTGAGTCTAATTGTTTTACTTCTAATATTTTCCGTTTCTTATTTTCTTGTTTTTTGCCTTCTTAGTCTTTTTCTTGGTTGCTCTTGCTGAGATGCCGAGAGTCTCGGTCATTCATTTCTAAATGGGATCCACTGTCTAAGGAGCTTTCTTCTGTTAATTCTCTGGGACGTTTTTCACAACTTTCTTCCATTGTTTGTTTCTCTAATTCCTTTTGCCCACTATGTTGTAGTGGCGGATTTGTTGCTGTATGGCCTTTTTCTTTACATAAAAAGCATTTTATCTCGTCGTCCAGTAGGAAGATTCGATGGATTACAATTGGGGGCGGTAGGGGGCTGTGCATCGGTACTTTCGTTGCAAGTAACTTGTTAGCAATTTCTTTTGTTTTCTATTAAACGGGAAATTGCAACCAGAAAAAATTACAAACATGCCTATACACTTACTAAACTTTAGCTCCTTTAACTCCGCATGTTTACGAAAGAACTACTCTTTGATTGAATTGTCAAGATTGATCTGCTCTCGATGTTGATTTATTTACTGGTCAGTGGACTTTGTTCCGAAAAGAACGTTTTGCATACACACTCAGATTAATTGGATTTTTATTAAAACTTGATTTAAATCTCTTAAGTGAACTTTTACACCAAACTGCCTTGTGTTTTGTGACACTAATAATGAACTTTAGTATTACTTGATTTTACAAACAGTTTTCTTTGTTACAATTTCGTGTGTCGAATTTCACCTCCCTTTTTGCTTGATAGTACTGCACCGATATGTGTTTTCCATGGGATTCGGTTACGAAAACGTTTGTTTAGAATAGAGGGCTATCTTTTACTGAATGGACTCTGCAGGATAGTCAGCTTTTTGAACTCGCACAATGAAATATGCACTTAGGCATCGGCATCACCTTGGCATAGTTTTTATGACAAACTGTGATTCTTTGTGAACGGGCACTCTTTTACTAACTTATACACTCGATTTATGCTGAATATTGCACGGAAGTCGGAACTACAATTCGCTTTTTAATCACTCCAATTGTAGCACTTGTACTGCTCACGTAATTTTTCCACTTGGGTAACTAATGATGATTTTTCAAAAACTTTCTAACTGGGCTGCAAAGTCACCCTAAATTTACTTAAGTAGTTTTTCTAAGCTCGCTTAATCCGAACGCTAATCTAATTGGACCTTAACTGGCCCACCGCTAATCATTGAATCTTTTCGCATTGACTGTCTAAACGCGAATGCTTTAATTTCGTGAATAATAATCCCCTCTCTAGCTACTTAGTAATTTTCTAACGTCCACTTCATGGCGACGATACGTTATTAATTTTCATTGGTTCGCCGGGCTCTCAGGGCTCTATACTGGGCTTCGTAATTCTGTAAAGTCAGCTCATTTTTACCAAGCTCCGTTTAATTTAGAGCGTTGCAGAAGTAACATAATACGACCTATTTCCAGCGTGTAATTCAAAACCAAAGGCAGACAATGGGGCGACAGACCCAAATTAGGTCAAATAAACATCTAAAGCGGATCTAAAAAAAGCGGCTGAGCACCTCGGAGTGATTCTACGGATCATTCGATTTGTCCCATTTTCCATAGCCTTGTAGCATGTAAGTCACTGTGCAAAGATTGAACCGAAACGGCCCAAGCGTTTACCAATTGCTTCTCACATCTAAAAGTTATGCACGTTTTACTTTCAGAAACAACATCTCAGGAAATAATTAATGCGGGCGCCCCCCCCCCCCTAAGATAACAAAATGTTATCGTATGTCACCATAACAGTATGACAAAACAATTACATGGCCTACTAGATTGATTTATTGTTAAAATTAATATTTTCCGTAACTCTTTAATTGTTGAGTTTTGGACAAAGTGCAATTTCGACTTAAAATTGACCAATGAATATGGTGTTAAGCTATGTCCATCGAGTCACGGGACACCCTGTATAGACGTGACATAACTTCTTGTTTAACTAAATAGTACCCTAGAACTATTGGGAAGCGTAAATGTTACGATTTGATGACCATCAATTCCTAATTGTATGCTGTTTTAGATAAAAATTTGTAGTATTTTAAAAACTACTGTAACACGAACTGTGAACTAAATTTGAATAATCCCAGCTGAGAACGGGAAAACAGCTTAAAATGACGTGCTACCACATACGTAACGAGTTAATTAAGAGATTTCCATCTTAAGACATCTTGTTTGGCATCACATTTTCAAGTAGAATGGAAGCCAATATAAGATTTTGTCAAGAACAATGCGGTTTAAACTCATTTGCAGTCTCGTGGAAAGGATAACTGTTGAAATTCTCCCATTTCCTTCCACTATATTCACGATATAATTCTAAAGTTCCTGACAGACGCCTCTGAACTGTGTAATAAGCGCTCGCTCGATTACGCAGATCGGGAGGGTTGATACAGTTAAATACAAAATTGCGCTCGGTATTATGGCCAAGTCGGGGTGAAGATTCTACCGAAATAACGTAAATTGCTTATTTTTCGTAAGTTACCCTTTAATGGATGGCGCTTGATGGTTGCGAGTCATAAACCAAGTTATATACCTGTTCGATCTGAGTATTTATTTTTGTTGCAGATTTACACGGATTGGGCGAATCATTATTTGGAGAAGGCTCGCAGCAAAAAGAGAGTTAATTCGTTGGCCACTGATTGCAGTGACGGCGTCCTTTTGGCAGAAGTTATAGAATCAGTTAGTAAGTACCTATCGACAAGGAATTGCTTTTGTAAAACCATGGCATTTTTTCCATTTTTTCGAAACTAGTTAATTTCTTATGCTTACGACTTGTTGTTAAAAGTTGCTAGGAGCAGAAAAGTTATAGACCAATTACAGGAATGCATTTTCATAATAAATTCAGAGACCCAAAATATTTGTATGAGAAGTGAAATGCGAATTATGCAGCATGTTTCCCCTTTCATATTAATAACTCACCCCCATGTTATTATAAGCCGAGTATTAACAGTGCGGTGAATTACATTAATGCACCATGTACGTAGTTTAAAAGCCACCATTTTTATGCAGTTTGTCGAGGGTTTTCTTTGAAATGAGAGGTTCAAACTTCTCGTTTGCAAAGCCCCGAAGTTTCAAAATTGATCTCGTTATCATGTAACCAAACTCCGAAGCAAATATGAGGCTAGTTTACAACGTTTCCAATACGAAAATTCATTTTGAACACGTGTTTTCTATGTTAGAAGCGAATTAGTAGTGGACATATTGGATTACGTTATTGTACTTTTGAAATATACGTGCTCAGATAATCCCCAATTTTATATTCATATTATTATTTCTAATTTTTCAAGAAGTTTACAGGAAAATTAAATTATACAAAACTCCAAGGATTTGTTTTAAGGATAGGTCTAATGTTAAAGGAAACAGTGATGTAAGGCGACTCCGCGAAGTAGGTACCAGAACGTTAACAATACAAACAACAAAATTAACGGCAATTATATTTGTGCTTCGATTGTGCCGATTTGTGCCCAGTAATTGGCGTTAAAAAAAATTATAAGCGTTTGAAAAAATGAAAGTACAAACGACAAATTTATGCTAACAGTTTCGGGGGTTTCATTTTAACTACCCACAAAATCCAATTTGGATGATCTGGTTATAAATTAATTTAAAAACACCAGGGCAAATACAAAAATAATGTGTATTAAAACCATTCAAACGTTTAAACGTAATTTTAAATAATCATTTTAATCGTGATATGAGGAGAAGTCCAGAAACTATTTCGAAATAAGGCCAATCTTGTGATTTAGTTATAGGTATTACAATTAATATTGACGTTTCGAATGTCAATGACCTGCAAATATATGTTTGTTTGTCATTAGGTAAGTATAAATGAGTTACTATGGTGATACTTAATGCCCTAGGGCATAAGTTGTACTTTTATGCCGCGATATCACAAATAAATGTGCTATAAGTTAGGTAAGACATAAATTCCATTTTAACAAATTCGAACCACCCATACTTGATCAAACATAATGAATTATTTTGTAAACGAAGATTTACTTCGAGGAAGAAAACGATTTGTAAGACATAAAATTTTGTATGTACCACGGGCACAAACTGATGTTTATACTCTCGGGCGACTAAAAAGCTCTCGGGCCTATCGGCCCTCGAGAATATAAACATCACCATTATGCCCTTAATACATAAATAACTATTACACCTTTCAATTTTTGATATTTGTTTTATTAAATGCTCAGAAATTGTCTCCTCTACTCGTAGTCATGGTAATAATCGAGGTAATAATACATTCTGTATTGACACTCTACAGTACACGGATATTTGCAAAAGTGTCTCTTTGCCTACATTCTGTGTCTTAACTCTGGAATAATGACAAATGGAGTCTTAGTCGTTCTCGAATGTCCCCAAAGAAATGGGGGTCAATTGGGGAAAACCGTGGTGGCCATTCTATGGCACCTTCTCTGCCAATCCATTTGGCAGGATACCTAGGGTATGACGCGGCCACAACTACTAAAGTGGCGGACCGCCCCTCCAACCTCCCCCCCCCCTCCATGCTACGCCACTGCCGCATTCCCTTTGTCGGTACCCACTTCTTCACTTCCTGTACCTATTATATTAATTAAAACAGTACAAGGGCTTAAAATACGAGTTTCAAAATAACTAAAAAATGAAGAAACAATCAGATGTCCTCAAGTCTATTGCATCAACAGCATTTTTCCTCTAAAATATTCGATTTCTCTTTGTTCATTGGAGTACCTACATGAAATTACAAAGTTGTCTTTCTTCATTTCGTGTTTGGAGATTATTGTGAATAAGTATTACCATTTTCATTTGAAAAGCTTTTTGTTTGCCGAACGTAAACCCTCAACTCAATGCAGGTAGACCTTGGAGTTGACAGGGCGGTTAATTAGTTACCTGTATTTTATTTTACCCAAGTTATGGAATTTTAGAAAACTGGTTACACTCCATTATCTAGTTTTGCATAAACAACTCTCCCTTTTGTTCGTCGACTCAAATCTATTTTCAAGAGTCTTCTTTTCGGGCGACAGAATTCACCTTCTGTATTAAAACATACACTTACCTCAAAATCTCTTGATATACAGGGTGTAGTACCTAAGACAGCTCGGATCATAATTCCTTCACCATAAAAGATACCAAAAAAAGTCTTGTACACAATTACCGTCGCCATATTTCTAAAATACTTTTGATCACCAGGAACGTGCTGTATTCCAGTGGCGTATCAAACTAGCGTTTTTTTTAATGGAATACCCCATATTTGATTACTGATTTGGAAACGTACTTGAAAAATACCTATTTTTTTATGTAACATGTTATACCCCTAACTTTAACGATTTCACTATTATAATTTTTTTGGTCAACATTTGACAGTTTTTCGAAATTTTTTTGATAGAAACTAAATCGCACGGCGGCTAAGTTTTGGACTAAAGGTCGGTTTACACGCTCAAGCCATTTGCACAAACTGGGTTGCACAAGCCATCATTGTCATGATGAAACAAAAGATGTTCAATTCTTACAATTGCTGGAATACAGTACGCCCCTGGTGATCAAAAATATTTTAGAAATATGCCGGCGGTAATTGCCTACAATTTTGCGGTATCTTTTATGGTAAAGGAATTATGATCCGAGAAGTCTTAGATGCTACACCCTGTATAGTACTCGTATACTATTTCTTATCCGAAATTGGACCTAAAAGCTATGGAATCAAATCTGATCGCTCGCTTCGATTTTAATAATGTATGTATTTATTGGTTTATTTTAGTTGATTGTCGATTGTTTTCTTGCACTTTCGGAATCTGCAAAGAAGAGGGATTGAAAACGGGGTTTTCCTTTATTGTATTTATCGAGATCGGGAGACGGGGCGAGGAGTGGCTTCTATACGCTGGAGTGTGTCAATCATAGTACTCCCCCTCGCCCCTTATCGTGAATTGGATATCATTCCAATACATCTATTATAGGTATATACCGGGTGTATGGAATATAGTGTATGTCTCGGTAAATATACAACATTTTTCTATATGAAAGTTGTTTAACATTGTATTTCCCATAATAAGGCAGTATTCCATTGTTTGTATTTCAGAAAACAAATGAATAACGAAAAACAATTGATTTTTTTTGAATTGCAATGCACACTTTCATTAGGCTCATTTGATAGAGATTTTTTTTCTCTTTTCAATGACGTAACACGTTAGCATCCGGGTAGAAGAAATTAATTTGAAGCTTTTGTGATAGGTTATGGCCGGTTATGGCACTGCCTTGCAGCTTAATGGTGGATATTTTGAACATTCATTGCGATGAAAACCATTGTACTGCTAATTTCGTTTGTCTTCAAGGTTTAATAAGAAACCGACACGTTCATTTGTTTTATTTTGATGGAGGATATCTGGATTAATGATATTGATCTAATTATAATAAATGTTTTTGAATAAATTTCACCAGTAAGGGTACTAACATGTTATATCATTGAAAAGGGAAAAAATTTTGCTATCAAATGAGCCGAATGAAAAGGTGCACTGCCATTTAAAAAAATTCAATTGTTTTTCGTTACTCACTTTTTTCTGAAATAAAAACAACTGAAAGCTGCCTTATTATGGGAAATAAAATGTTTAACAACTATCATATAGAAAAATGTTGTATACAAGCGATATTTACCGAGATAGGGTCCGTTAACTTGGTCCCCCCACTGAGAGATTTCATAGTCGTATTATTTTAAAATGAATGCGCTCGTTATGCGCTCATATGCGCCACCGATAATAACTCTTGCGCCATTATCGTTTTTTAGAAATCCGAAAAAAACATTTGGGGGGGCCAAGTGAACGTAGCCCCCCCCCCCCAGTACGTATTTTGTCCTTGAACGTGTACAACAAGATTTTTACGATATGCCACTTTTAAGTTAAATCTTCCATTGCGCAGAGGTGAGACGTCATATTTGCGAGTTCAATCCATCTTAAAATTAAGTTCTTTAAATTCCAATTTTCATATGTGTAGGTATAACTTTTGTTGGAAAGGTGATTTTAAAAAACTATTCGACAATTTTGTTTCTTTTTTTTTTGAAAAAAATTTTGCAAAATAGGAAAGGACATACGGCAAAACCTATTCAAAGACGTGCTACCAGTTTTTCGAAACCTTATATGTAACACTCTGTATAGCGTAGATTTTGAATTGCGTATACAGGGTGTTTTTTTGGGAGCTTTAGTTAAAAGTTTCTGAGAAAGTAAAACAGGTAGGTTTTTGAAAATTTGTACTTAGGAGTTACTCTGAAGGCCGAATCGATGTAAAATATTTTCAAAATGGCCGCACTTCCGGAAACACCGGAAGTAGATAGTAACTTCGTTATTTTAAATGGCAACCCCTATTTTTTATTGCATTTTTGGATTCTACGTGAAATTTCACTTCTTTTGATACCCATATGTCGATATCTACCATTTATGGTTTTTAAGTTATTTTGACTTTAAGAAAAAAAATGGCGGATGCAGATGGTACCTTGATAATTGATTACTTGCAAACGGTTGTAGTCATGGCAACCTATTTTTATCAGTGCATAGAGAATGAATAGGGCTTTCTTTTAGTGCACTTAAAAAAAAGTTAAGTTGCGTACGACCGCCCCTATGGATATCCAAATTTATGAAACTTCAAAGACTAAAAACTCAGTTTTTTTAAGTAGAATGACCATGTTCTTACTATTCCATGAGATAGAGAATCGAAATGGGCATATTTTGACAATACATGTTCCTATAGCTATCTTTAACAGTTTCTGACTTATTCCCATTTTATTGAATTGACACTATTTTTTTAGGATTTTCTTTTTTAGTAGTCGGCCATGATTCTATAACAATTGAATTTTAAACAAATCTAGTGACACTAATCCATCACCCACTGTTATAGGTTAACATAAGTTTTTCAAAAATCGAAAAATGACTCGCAGTGGTTTCATCTATTTTGAAATTTAATTGTTATTTATGGTGAAATGGGCAGAATCGCGGCGCGTGCTTTCCGTACATTCATTCGAAAACTAGAACGAAATTGTATGAATTTTGGAAATTTTGTACCCCTAAAAAAAAAACAAACCGTTGAAACACAAGTGATACAAAGCTCTACAAGAGAATATTTAAGAAAATTAATTGAATTGAAAATGCAAGATTAACAAAATAAATTCAATGCAAAATATAAAAAACTTCGTTGAAACATTTTTGGTATGGAATTGTTGCTAGAACAGATATCGCATTACCTCTCTTAATTTCCAGACTTATACGTTGTTTAAGAAATTCAGTTGAACGACTCTGTTTAGATTTTTCAAAAATTTTCTGTCCTATATCCTTAATAAATGATTTATTTATTAATGAATGATTTAGACTAGAACTAGAATCAGTGGTATTAAAGAATCCATTCCTTGATTTGTTTAAAATTCGATTGTTATAAAATCATGGCCAACTACTAAAAAGAAAATGCGAAAAAAAATGGCATCAATTCCTAAATCAATTCAATGAAATGGGAATAAATCAGAAACTGTTAAAGATAGCTATAGGAACATGTAATATCAAAATATGCCAATTTCGATTCTCTATCTCATGCAATATTAAGAACATGGTCATTCCATTTAAAAAAACTGAGTTTATAGACTTTGAAGTTTCTTAAATTTGGATCTCCATAGGTGCGGTTGTACGCAACTTAACTTTTTTTTAAGTACACTAAAAGAAAGCCCTATTCATTCTCTATGCACTGATAAAAATGGGTTGCCATGACTATAACCTTTTTCAAGTAATCCATTATCAAGGTACCATCTGCATCCGCCATTTTTTTTCTTAAAGTCAAAATAACTTAAAAACCATAAATGGCAGATATCGACATATGGGTATCAAAAGAACTGAAATTTCACGTAGAATCCAAAAATGCAATAAAAAATAGGGGTTGCCATTTAAAATAACGAAGTTACTATCTACTTCCGGTGTTTCCGGAAGTGCGGCCATTTTGAAAATATTTTACATCGATTCGGCCTTCAGAGTAACTCCTAAGTACAAATTTTCAAAAACCTACGTATTTTACTTTCCCAGAAACGTTTAACTAAAGCTCCCAAAAAAACACCCTGTATAATACCAGGCGAAAGAAAAAAATACCCCTTATGTGATGGTTTTGTCCGTCTCTCCGTCTGTTCCTCGTTTAACTAGAGATCGAAAAGAGACAGCGATGTCAAACTTTCGCCAATCGATTTCTACGGGTTCAAGGATCAGTGCTATTGAATATGAGCCGGATCAAAAGTCTGGTTTCCGAATACGAGCGGGGGGCAAAAAAAACTCCCCTACTGAAAATCGTATGCGATTCTTCGTATCTTGTTTTTATTCATATGTCGAACTAACTCAATTTCTTGTTTCAGCTTGCCAAAAAATTCCGGACATAAACCGAAAACCCAAAACTCCATCACAAATGGTAAGTTTATTAGTTAATTATAACTACGGTCGGATATACGATAAACCCGTAACTCGAACAATACGTTATTTCAAAAACAATCGCAATTTATAGAATTGTGTCAATCGGCACTAATTGCTAATTTTTATTTAAATAAACGACTTAATTGTTTCGTTCAAACATTTAGCCGATAAAGGAAGCATTCGGAATCGTGGGTGTCCAACGTTTTAGACTCCGGGTAGATTTATACCCGTTTATCTCTGATAGGATTAAGTACACAATCTCACGAATAAATGGAACCTGAATGAATTTCTGGGGGATGTAAAGGAGATTCTTTAAGAACGCGCCGGTGGCGTGTCAAGTTTAGCTTTTTGTGGATAATCACACTGACTATTAGAATAGTAGTCTTTTTATGTACTGTGGGAATCACTAATATAATCTTTCATCTCTATGCTTTAATTGTACTAGTATACGAGTAGGTTAGTGTTGTGGGGCCTTAGTCAATTTATTTCACCACATTTTATAAGTCCAATTGACCTACGAAATATTAAAGTTAGGGCTCTTTCAGCTTTTACCACTTTATCATTCAGTAATTAACTATTAGTCCACCTGACTAAAGCAAAACTAAAAGGTAAGTACCTACCCAAATTGCGTAACATCTTTGTTTCCCACGCCTAGGCGATGGGTTTTACATAAATTAAGTAACGTGGTTTATTCATGCATCTAATTAGGACTGAGAATAAGTAATTACAATCTGTTCTTAGGAACAAGCTTCGGCACGTGGGTAATTGTTGATTTTTTAGAATGTAAAGTGAGTCAATTTGAAATTTCGCGTATTACGATGATGCGTAAACGCCAAAAAGGAAACCGAGATAAAGATTATTATGCCAAGGTTACGTAACTGTAAAGGTAATTTGCTCATTACAATCGGTAACCTAATAACACACACAGCAGGTTTTGGACGTCCCAGACCTGTTATACACCCTCCGGCTTCTTCGTCTTCCGTATTTGGGTGCGGGGGTTACCATTTAAAATCTGATAAGGAGGTGAAGCAGACCAGGTGAACCGAGGTGTGTGTTAATTGTGATGTGATGGACCAAATTGTGGGAGTCTGTTGCGTAGACTACAGTAACGACGTAAGGTGGGGATTTGGACTTGCAGGACCCGCCGCCGCCAGTGTTTCTCATACATTGTAATGTTATATTGATGGTGCGCTGGTAACGAACGAAACGCGCATTATTCTTACAATTCTAATTACGGAATACGCGCGTGCTAATCCTTTATAAGTTCCGAATTCGATTAAGGCCCCGTTACTTCCTCTGAATTGGAATACGTGCGTGCGTTCCGGGTGCTCGCTGGACTACTTCGGTCCCAGGTAATTTTTTCTTAGCCTAAAAATAAAATTATGCAATGTTTACAATTTCAACCATTAACTTCTAAATGTGTTGTTTAAAATGTTGCGAGTGATCCAAATATTTACAAAAAACTGTCTTCGGCTTTTACGTATAAATTGAGCTGGGTCACAGACGGTGGCAACTTCCTGATCATTATCAGCCGGCATTTTCATTTTAGCTGGTTATTGTTTAAAAGATTTATCACGAAAATAAGTTTTCGTGACAACTGAAGTTATCACTTCTAACCTTTGATAGCCTAACGTTATGGTAATCAGGACCAACAATTGCAAATTTTAAAAATAAACTATTTTAAATAGAATCAATCTTTTTGAAAAAGCTACCCTTAACCTTACGCACGAGTGCCAATCATTGGATGGAGCGAAACCGCTCAAGGGATGATTTTTGGTTACACTAAAAGAGTCAACCAGTTCGATCACTTGTTTTGTATACGATGATATGTATCTTCAGAAGGCAAAAAGCAAAACAGCACTCTTATGTAAGCTCGGCTGCTTTGTGGTTCTAAATTGCAGGATGCTACATACAATAGGAATAGTTCTCTCTCATATTTTCCAACATTTTAATCTCTGAAAAGTACTTTTTTCTCCAACCACCTGAATAAGACGCTATTTTGTGACAGTATTCGGTACGTAAAATTGACGTTTTGCGGATTAATCGCTTTCACCATGGCAACTGTACAAAAAGTGGATACTTTTGGTCCTAGTACCAAAAAGAAATTGACCTTGAAAGTTGGCCAATTAAAAAATTACAATCACGGAGATATGTCACATTGACATCGTTTTACATTGCAGGTTGTAAGATATTTCTATACATACAAATCAAATATTTTTGCATATTCAATGGAAATAATTATGTTACCTATACGTATGTACATGTATTGAAAATGGTTTACGCTCGCTATTTTTATTTAAACCATGTGTAACGTAATTTACATATTCGATGAACGTAATTTTAATACGTATACAACCCGCCGTCGCGCGTAACGCCATCTACTTCAGACCCATTGCACTATTATCTGTCATTTTGAATTCAAAATTTGAAAAAGTTAATTGCAATTAATTTTAATTAAAAAACTGTATGGTAAGTTTTTTATTTCAATACAAAATATAACAATATTAATTGTGTATACAATAGAAATGACTGAAACTGATAGCGACATGGATTGCACTCCGCCAGAGATTTTAGAAACGGCAGAACATGCTACCTCAAGATTTGCTCCCTCCAAAGTCGCGAGAGGTGAGAAGTAAGAAGTAAGAACGAATAGGTTACAAGTTAACCTAAAAACTAGAGTGGCATGACACGTGAGGACAAGAAAGCAGAAGTTCTTATACTAGTAGTGAAACTGTGACTGAATCTAAATTCGAATATAATTTGAAGTAAAGGGGGTTGGTGAAAAAATTTTATGTTTTATTCGTACAAAAAATGCGTTTTCGGGACTCGGAAGGTTGCTGGACTCCGCTAACGCGTCGTCCAGCAACTATCTTCCTCGTCCCGAAAACTGACATTTTTTGTACTAATGAAACAAATAACTATTTTATAGATCCCGAAAATTAACTAGTTAATCTTCGTTAAGTACTTTGGTAAAAATTACGATTGATTTTCATTGGTGTTAATAATACTCCAAAGTTAAAATTATTCGTGCATAAGCTTCAGATTTACCTCAACATTTACACCTTATATTAAGTTGGTCCCCACATTGAAGAACCAAAAAGTCCTTAAACTATCTACTATACTTTCTATATTCTACATATAATATGCGCAATTTGACTTATATTAAGCGAATACAAGAAATAGAAGCATAAAAAATATAAGTGGTAAGACGATATTTTTGCACGCAATATCTAATTCAACTTACCTGTCATTGAATAAACATTTTATTGTCTGTAATAGTGTTTTTATGGATCTCTAAAGCTACCTCTGAAGCATTGGCTGCAATAGACTTTAACGCAAAGATGAGCCATCAAGTTTATGGTTAGAGTACCAAATCAAATCTCATATAATTTATTGTATACAATTAGTAATTTACGTCTCTATTTCTGTCGTTTTTTCGAAAACTAAATTACGTGCGATGAAGATTAATTGAATAATATCCACTCTCGTCTCGGGTGTTTATTATTATTATTCTCATAGCGTCAACACCGACCGGATAAATTACGATTATTCGATTCCGACCGTTAAATACCCTTTCCTAATATTAACAAAAGAACTAAATCAGATCAGAGTTCTCTCATTTTCATGGGGTAATAGTTATTTACATAATAAGTCGTGAAAGTGGTCGTTTACATGACGCGGAGGCTTATTGAAAAGTACGAGGACGCGCAGCGTCCGAGTATCTCTTTAATGCCTTCAAGTCAGGTGGACTCACTTTCATGACGTATTATGTATAAAATTTTACCTGAAACTGCAACATGTAGATAACTTTTACAAATTAAATTATTCATGTGTGAAATTTTGATACCTAATCACGCACGCTAAAATGACATTAGGTAATTGTTTCCATAGAGATTTCAAAATAATTAAAACAATCAGTGTCATTTTTAATGCAGTTTGCAGTTTACACTTTGTACTTTTCAACTAAGTATACAGTCTTAATAACTAGGTACAAAAGCAGGTATCAGTGAAGAAGAGTACCTACGCGAGACGTTGTTATAATGTAGCCGAAGATGCGGCCGCCGTAGTATATTCCCTCCCTACAAAGTCAAGAAAGTACGAAAAGGCGTACAAACCTTTTAATGACTGGCGCAAAACTAAAGGAATGGTTACTTCCACACATAGTCCATTAATTGTTAGTAATTAAAAAACCATTATCCTTTGTATAGGTATATTAATATTTAAAAATATCTACATAGTCTGCATTATAAATATCCAAACGTTGATTGAATAACTTATTCAATGAACGATCTAATTGGTTATTTTGCAAGTACTAGGACTGTAATGGGAGTCAGGTAAAAATATTACAGTACTAGTCAGGTAAAGATCAACTTTCTAATGTCAAAATAGCCCTGAAATTTAGATTTTCTTGACGGTTTCAGGTAAAAAGTAATGTACGAGTTTTGAAAAGCATTTATCTCGGCATTTATTTAAACATTTACACAGCACACTTGCTTGTATTGCGTGGGTTAAATCACTTTCCTCCTGGAGGGATGAAATGGTAATAGGGGAGAAAATTAACAGTAGACATTTTAATAATTAGTAGTATTCTTCCTTATTTCTTACATCATATTTTATTTTATCGTTTCTAAATCAGTAATTCTAAATTAGCACATTATCGAAAATTGGGAAATTTTTTATTCGTTCTGTTTCCGCCTATTATACTAGCAGTTTTATAGTTGGATTGATTATGGATAACTTCAAGCCAAGAATTGTGAAGCCAACTTTACATGACACGTCATTGCTTAAAAACTGGTTGTCATTGCATCCCTGATATTGGATCCTTAAAGAAATTCCATTAAAAAAAGCGACCATAGCAAATGATCTGAAACTGAAATTTATAAAATTTTTTCACTATAGCTCTAGGTGCATCCACGCATTTCTAAATATCGAATACTTCCTTGCTAGTTATATTTGCTCCCATAAACATAATACCTTGTTTTAAAGATGAATTTTTGT